TTGAAGCTATGTTTTTAATAAATACACCAATGGAGTTTAATTGACATTGTTTATAGAATCCTAGTTCAATGACAAACTAAATGACTAAATTGAAATATTAAGTTATGTGATAAAGTAACTGTTTTCCATAACTGAATTCTTTTCAGAGTCTCCCAGGCAGAAGACCATGTCCAGACCAGAAGAGAAGAGAGAGATATATCCTCTTTCAGAAGGAAGTAAGTACAGTTAATTTGAACTACAAATGTGGAATTTTTTTATTTTTAAGATTATAAATTGCATGTAGCACATTAGCAACACTACAGTAATGCTAATGTGACAATAGTGTAAGAAAATCCTAACCCAATTCCTTTAAAATGCTGATATAAAATGTAAATTATTTCAGAGTTTCAGAAACGGGTATTGGGCCTTCTGATAGAGATGAGGGATGACTTGAGGCGTTTGGGTAGGTCCACAGAACTGGTGGACTCCCAATTCCACATCAGGAGGCTGACCACAATGGAAGAGTTCTGTGCATACGAGCAAGCACTTGACAGCATGGACAATCAAAACCTGCTGGTATGATATTATATTCTCACTGTGGTGTAGAAAATATTCACTACTAATATTCTAGGTTTCAGATAGGTCATAATTTTATAGCCTACATCTGATTAATATGATCCATCTCTGGCATACATTCATATTTTTTGTTCATAATGTATAATCTTGCTTATCCTTTAATGGCAAAATAAAGTGTTTTCATGTCCTAAAAAGTTACTACAATTTTTTTTTACTTTGAAAAATGGTTACTTTGTATTTTTAGATGAGAAAATACTGCAAAAAAGTGTAGTTAATACGTGAAAATGTGTTTGTTCCATGAATGTGTAAATGGGTATATCTGATTAGTTGATTAATGAAGATCTAGTAGTAAAAATAGCTTCTAATATTATTTCTAATATAATATTATTTCAAGATAAACCAACTTCAGAGAGTAGGTGGCAGTGATGTCAGAGAGAATGTTTTCACAGTCTTGTCAAGGTATTGCTTATTGATTTTTTAAAATGTTTTTACATTACATTTTTACTTCGATCAAATTAACATATCCACAGAATTGAGCTTATAGATACCTATGTGTTAACCACTGAATGTGCAAGGTGTAAAACTGCAAAATTGTCTTTTAAAATATAAGGATTACAGTACTACATTTGATCCTAAATATCTGAGTAAATAAATGTTGAGTGGAAACTCACTTGAAAAAATGTCTAAACTCAGTGAAAATTTGGTTTTCAGACTTATGACAAATGAACCGATGACAGAATTCAACTTCGCTGGCACAAACCGAAAAGATAAACAACAAAAGAGGGGCCTGGGAGACACAAATCTTTATAGAGTAATTAAAGGTACTCTTATTCTATGTTGTACTTTCAAACTTTGGGTACTCTTTAATTCGGAAAGACTTTATTGCTCAATTGCTGTGATGCAAGCCACATTTTATCAGTTTATTTCAGCTTTGAGCTTAGTAAACCTTAATGGTTCATTTTTGAGATTATACTCAAGAAGATATTAACCATCATTTATTTTAGTAGTAATATTATATAATTTTCTCCTAGCTGCGGTACTGAAGTCCCACCCTACATCGACAGAAAAAGATATGAAGGAGCACGCAATGCATTACTTGAAGAATGCATATGCAAGGCAGGGGGCCAGGAGATCTGGACATTGAAAATAATAGGTTTCTGGTCCTGTTAGGACAATTAGATAGGGTTTGCAAATGGTGGACAAAAATAGTCTTAACTTCTATTGTAATATTTTTTTTTCTTGGAAATATAGAAGTTGTACATTTTAAACTAAAGTTACCCGTATAATAGACCTCTAACCATATACGTATAATAGACCTCTAAAGTTATCCGTATAATAGACCTCTAACCATATACGTATAATAGTCCTCTAAAGTTATCCGTATAATAGACCTCTAAAGTTATCTGGAACTCCAACCATATATGTTTAATAGTCCTCTAAATTTATCCGTATAATAGAACTCCAACCATTTATGTATAATGAACGTCTAATCATAGACGTATAATTGACGTATAACAATAGACGTATATTAGAATTTCATTCTAGACGAATTGCGGACCACATTTAGACGTCTAAGGTATGCATTTAATAGACATATATTATATGTCTTTTGCCCACTGGGATGTAAATGAGTGAAAATTGTAATTCTTTAGTGTATGTTAATTTCTTACCTACAACCCAAAACCCATGACAGAGGACCAGAGGCCATATATTAATTCCTTTTTGATTACACAGATTTTAAAAAAATACTAATTCCGAATCCATTTAAAAATCAATCATATTAGCCCTGAGGCAACAAAATGTCTCCAAGAAGATTTAAACCCTTTTAACTTCTGCCAGAGAAATATAATTTCCTTTGTTTCACACATTTCTTTACTGAAAAACAGTTGTTGGAAATGGAGTTCTTAAGTCTTGTATTTTATTAGTTGGAATAGTTTTTGAGTGTGTTTTTAATAAGCAACCTTAATTTGGGACTTAAAAATAGATAATTTATTATTCAAAAATAAATTTTACAATTGTAGTAACTATTGGACCTTCAGTCCTTTGAAGGCAGGAGTTGGCCTCTTCCATTTTATAAGTGTACACTCTCTGACATTGACACTGAGTTTGTCACAGTTAAATACAAATCTTTATTCTTAACCCTCACATCTGCATAAAGAACAATACAACTTAAACAAAGGGGTTGTCTTTACCCATATCAAATACACACTGTAAAATAATATTTACTGTATGAACAAATATTCAGCTCTAACTCTTTTTTTGTTTTTTTCTTGGAATTTAAATACTGTATATTCTTAAAATCAATCTATTAAACCATTTCATACTTTGTGCCATTATATTGTAACATTGTATTTACTGATTTTTTGTTTGGAACAACTAAACATGGCTCTGAATAATGGTCCATGTAGGCATTGTTTACTGACTTTTGACACAAAGGTTACTTGTACTAGCTGTTTTACTGTAAACTGAAAGAAAAATTAGTAACACATTTTAAATATTACCTACTTATGTAATGGCTAATACGATGCAGGCAAATATTGGCTGTTGTGCAGATGGGTGTTGCACTTACAGCAAGTAGTGGATGAAGTGATTCCACCATTATTGTAAAGTGATTTGTGATCATTTGGGATGGAAAGTGCTATATAAATTGATTGAGCATTCTTACTTGACTGTAAACCTACACTAAGGTTCAAATAATTTTTACAAGGCGGTTCTAAAGAGTGTTTAAAATCCACAGGAGGTGGTGCATTGTATTGATATTTTCAGTTTGTAGAACACCTAAGAAAATAATAATATAAGAACAGAAAATTACATTTTATAACTAAGTAAACATGTTGACTCCCAGCTTTCTTAAATGAAAACAGAATAATAAACTCAATGTGATATAGTGAGAGATGAATCAAACCCCCATCCTGACTCAAAACCCAAGTCTCAGTATGGCTTTGAGCAAAGAAAGACACCTGTTAATTGAAAAAATGGCTACAGAATCGCACAGCAGGTCTGAGTGAGTCTTTAGCACTGAGACAGAGTGGAATTCCATGTGAGGAAAAGGAGCTGTCAGGATAGGCTCTGGGTGGAATTAGCCACTCCTCTGGGGCTAATTAAGAGACTTATAAAACTAGTTGGGAAGGAAAGGTTTCAGTCTGTGTCTAGGTTCTAGCTTGGATAGAGAGAGTGAGAGAGCTCCAATGAGAAGTTCTTGCTAGTGACAGATTGGGCTAGCTTATAGGCATGAAGGACTCAGAATTCAGAAGGCCACAAGGTAGCTTTTGAGAAAGCTATAGCTTGGGCTGTAATGAAGGTAATCACAGATTCTATACAGACAGGCTGCTTGTCATGTTGCTTGTTTGCCAGGCCCACTGGGGACAAAGTGTACTACCAGGAAAGAGGATTGGCTTGCCATGTCAGAGCTTACTAGAGGCCTCAACACACGTACAGCAGAGAATTTCTTGGCATAGTAGCAGTATATCTTCCTCCTGTAGCTGACAGAGAAAAGTCTAGGTGCTACAAGTTGTCTTGAATACTAAGGGCTGCAGATAGATTAGTAGTATTAGAGAGAAAAGAAACACATTTTTGCTATATACAGTAGATGCACCCCTGGCCAAATTGGACCAGTCAACAAATGAGTGATGAGATGTATTAAAGTGAATATCCTAATGTAAAGAACTAGTAAAGAAAGAATTGGGCAACAACGGGTAACCTGGATTAAAAATCCTTTGCCTGCTAGTTAGTGAGGAGAGATTACAAGGTGTTGTGGGATGAGTCTGAATTAATTAGAGATTAGATAAGACTTTATTGATCCTACAGGGAAATTGACGTGTTACAGCAGTCCAGCCCAAGACAAGCAAAAAAAACAGACATCAGAATAGATGAAAAATTAGAATACATACAGTAATACAAAATAAATATTAAATAAATACATAGGTGTGTGGAAAATATGCTAATAGTCACTGTAAAAACAATAAAATATGTGCAAAATGTGCATAGGTAAACACAGATTGAGTGTCCAAAATAAAGTACAATGGAGCAACATGCTGTCCATAGATGAGCAAATGAAGGGCTAACAGTCCTAGCCTAGGGCAGCGTTATACACTCTGACAGACGACAGGAGGAAAGACCTGTGGAAATGTTCCCTTGAACACCATAGCTGGAGCAGTCTGTTGCTAAAAGTGCCCCGCTGCCCAATAACAGTCCCATGAGGCGGATGAGAGGCGTTGTTCATGATGGCTGTGACCTTGGTCAGCATTCTCCTCTCAGCCACCACCTCCAGGGGGTCAAGGCTCAGCCGCAACACAGAGCCAGCCTTCTTGATAAGTTTATTGAGTCTATTTGCATCTCTTCTCATGATGCTGCTGCCCCAGCACACAACAGTGTAGAAGATGGCCGCTGCCACCACTACTTCATAAAAAATGTGTAACGTGTTCCACACACACCAAACGACCTGAGCCTCTTAAGAAAATAGTCAGCTGTGACCTTTCTTGTACAGGGCTTCAGTGTTACCAGACAACTCCAGCTTATCATCCAGGTCTACCCCTAAGTACTTGTAGGACTGCACCCCCTCTATGTCCTCACCCTGGATGGAAACAGGGTTCAGCGGAGACTTATTCCTTTGAAAGTCCATGACCATTTCTTTAGTCTTGCTGGTGTTTAGCTGGAGATGGTTAAGATGACACCACTCCACAAAGTTGGTAATCAAGCTCCTATATTCCTCCTTCCTCTCCTCTCTAATACACCCCAAAGTTGCAGAGTCATCCAAAAGCTTCTGCAGATGACTCAGAGTAGTATCTGAAGTCAGAGGTGTAAAAGGTGAACAGGAATGGAGCAAGGACAGTCCCCTGTGGAGCCCCAGTACTGCTAACAACCTGTTCGGACACACAGCTCTGTAGCCGTACCTACCGTGGCCTGCAGGTTAGATAGTGTATAATCCAGGACACCAGGGGAGTGTCCACCTGTGCTGCCCTTAGCTTATCTCTCAGTAATGGTGGATGGATGGTGTTAAAGACACTGGAGAAGTCAAAGAACATAACTCTCACAGTGCTCCCCGTCCTCTCCAGGTGAGAGTTAGCTCTGTGTACCAGATAGATCACTGCACCTCCACTCCCAAGTGTGACAGGTAGGCGAACTGCAGGGGGTCCAGTGCTGTACTCACCAGGGTTCTGAGGTGGTCCAGTACAAGCCTTTCCAGAGTTTTCATTAGGTGTGATGTCAGTGCCACAGGTTTGTAGTCATTCAAGACTTTAGGGTGCACCTTTTTGAGTACTGGCACCAGGCAAGATGTCTTCCAGAGCATCGGAACCCTTTCTTATCTCAGGCTCAGGTTGAAGATGTACTGCAGCACTGAACCCAGTTGGTCCGTCCAGATCTTTAGCACCCTAGAGCTGACACCGTCAGAACCCGCTGCCTTCCCTGCATGGAGTCTCCTCAACTCCCTTCTGACCTGGTCAGCTGTGATGGATAGGCCGAGGAGGGCAGGGGAAGATGGAGTAGGAGTAGGAGGGATCACATTATGGGGTGACTGAGGACATGAAGAGGGTGTTTGGGATGAATGCCTGTGAGGTGAATGGACAGTGGACCCTGTATTGAATCTGTTAAAGAAAAGATTCAGCTCATTGGCCCTCTCCAGGCCTCCCTCACTCTGTTGGCCGCCGGATAACTTTTATCCTGAGATCTTCCTCATGCCATTCCACACTTCTCTCCCATTGCTCTCCATCAGCCTGTCCTCTATTTTCCTCCCATAAGCCACCTTGCTCTCCCTAACTCTCCCCTTCAGCTCTTTCTGCACTCTCCACAGCTCCTCCTTGTCACCTGCCCGAAAAGCCCTCTTTTTCCTATTTAGGACAGCCTTCAGATCACTGGTGATCCAGGGTTTATTATTGGAGAAGCAGTGCACTTTCCTAGTGGGCACTGCACTGTCAACACAGAAGTTTATGTAGTCAGTGATGCAGTGGGTAAGACCATCAATGTCACAGAGTATCTCCCAGTCTGTTGTTTCAAAACAGTCCATCAGTGCATCATTAGCCTCAGCTGACCATCTCCTCGCTGTCCTGGTGGTCACTAGTTGTTGTAGTACAAGAGGCTTGTACAGAGATAGGAGATGAACAAGGTTGTGGTCAGATCTTCCAAGGGGGTGAGTGATGAGGAGCTGTAAGTATTCTTGACATTAGCATGCAGCAAGTCCAAAGTCTTATTATCTCTAGTAGGGCATTTAACAAACTGACTAAAAGTAGGCAGAGTAG